TCTGCCCTTCAAGCTATTGTTTGTTCCCTTAGAGCAAACCGAGGAACTGAAATACCTCAGCTTTCTTGATTACATTTTCTATTTCTGCCTCTTAAAATCCTTTCCGGCCATCTGAGTACAATTATGGGTCATCCGGAGCTCGCCATGAGTCATGAGTTACTGACATGCTCTGGGCGTACATGTAGACGTTGGTGCTAACATTGGTGGCTTTAATTGACTTTTCAAAGTGTCTGTGGGCAGTACAGTGAGGCTACACATTCTCCACAGCCAAAGGGACTGCTGCTACTTTTACTGTTCCTCAAGAGATTGGGATACATATTTTTTAGACCCATCATTAACATAGCATTTGATATATTAAAGATGCCAATGAAAATACCTATAAGGCCTTCCCATCGAGGAGGTGATGCTCCGCCTTTAAGCACTGCCAACACTGAGGTTCTAAATACCACTTAGATTTGACCTTGTTGAGGCAATTGTTTGGCTTTTTAGAACACTTGCAAAAGTCTGGTTTTATGTTTTTGGAGACAGGTCTCACTCTGTTTCCTAAGGTGCCTTGCTATCTATAACTATTGACAGTCCTGGTTCAGTTTCCCTAGTGCTGGGCTTGTAGGTGTGAGCCTCCCATACCTGACCAAAAAGCTTAGCTGTTATTTGTATAGATAGCTTGAACTGTGACCGCTTTGTTGGTCAAAAGACTTAAGACCATCAGAAAACATAGATATTTGCGTTACAATTCATAATAGTAGCAAAATTACACGTATGAATTAGCAATGTGGTTAGGGTCACCCTATGAACTGTATTAAAGCTTAAGAACCACTAGGCCTAGGGGATCCCCGCAGACTGGCTAGCAAGACCCTGGATGAGAAGGAAACAGGGCCTCGCATCCTGTTCCTCTGTTCCCACCAGTTAGCTCACACCTAGGATCTCAGCACTCTGGAGGCTGAGGCAGGAGGATAGCCTTGAGGTAAGACAGGGATATATAACAAGAGCCTGTCTCAAAAAAAAAAAAAAAAAAAAAAAAAACCTCATTGAATGGCTCTGGCTCCTTAAAAGAAGTAGAATTTACAATTGAATGTAAATTGGCCATTTACAATTCTTTTTGAGAAGCTAGTAGGTGACATAGCAGAAATCTATCGTGAAAGCAGAAACTCAGAAATGTCATGAAACAGAAATACCAAGAAAAGGTGGAGGGAAGCAGCTTTTGACCGAAGGAACTTTTGGGCCTCTGTAAATTTGTCTGACTATAACTAACAGTATGCCCGCATTATTGTCAAATTTAACCGTGGGAGGCTCTGCTAATCCCAGAATGTCACAAGAAAGGAAGCCACCCAGCCAACATTGTAGAGGGGTAGGAGGGACAGGGAAGGAAAGCACATGAAGACCATGGAGTCTAGGAAGAACTGTTTCAGATGAAGATCTTATAATACAGAAAATACTAAACAAAAGAATCTCGTACACGTAAAGAAAAAGGGATGGAGTCAACATAAAAATTGTGTATGTGCGTGTGTGTGCTGATGTGTTTGAGCTGTGGCGCACATTTAAGCCAGAGGATAACCTTAGGTATTGGTCCTCCCATCTCTCCTTGCTTGACCCAGGGTCCCTTGCTGCTCGCTGCTGTTTGCAGCAGGCAGGCTACCTGACTCTCAAGCTTTGGGATTCTGTCTCCATTTTTCATCTTGCCACAGGAGTGTAGGAATTATACATCTAGCTTTATGTGGGTTCTGGGGATCCAAACTCAGGGCCTTCAGCTTGAACAGCAGGCAGTTTACTCACTGAGCCTTCTCCACCCTTCACTGTCCTCTCTGTTCTAACAATAAGAAAATCTGAGTAAAAATAAAACAGTTCCGTTGATAATAGCAAAAAGAATAAAATATTTTAAAATAAATGTACCAACAGCCAGGGCTGGTAGCACATGCCTTTAATCTCTGCTTCTTGGGAGACTGAGGCAGGAGGATTCCAAATTTAATGTCAGTCTTGGTAACTTAGTCAGACCCTGTCTCAAATCAAACGGAGAGGAGGATGAGCCCAGAGCCCTTGCCTAGCATTCATGGGAACCCATAAGGTTAATCCGCAGGAGAAACAGGACAAAGGAGGAAGGAGGGAGGGAGGGAGGGAGGGAGGGAGGGAGGGAGGGAGGGAGGGAGGGAGGGAGGGAGGAGGACAGGAACAGAAGAGCCTATCATGAGCTGTCAAAACTATACAGCACTGTGGAAAGAAAATCTTAGTTGATGGAAATATCATTTTCGCTGATTGAAAGACTTGATGTTGAACTGGGTGGTGGTGGTGCACACGTTTAATCCCATCATCATTCAGGGAGGCAGAGGCGGGCAGATATTTGTGAATTTGAGGTCAGCCTGGACTACAGAGTGAGCTCTAGGACAGCCAGAGATACACAAAGAATCCCTGTCTTGAAAAATAAAATAAATAAATAAAAAATAAAGACTTGGTGTATAATGACAATAGGTCCTGAAGTTTGTCTATATATCAAGATGTCAGATAGGATTTAAAATTCACAGTGAAATATTAGAGACAAAGACAAGCCAAATCTTGAGGGGGGAGAGGGAGGGAGGGAGGGGTGAGGGAAGGAAGGAGAGTGTATTCTCATGGAGTTGGAGAGTCACACACACACGATCATTTTGAGACCGGCTATTTTGATAGGTGAAGAATGGAGAAGGCAGACATATTGCACTTTCTGAGGTCTGTCTTCAGAACTGAGGATGGCCACAACCAAGCCACACAAGAACAACTGTCAGGGATTCTCATGAACTTCTGATGGCCTTGTGAACTAACACAACCATTTTGGAAAGCAGTTTAAACGTTCCTCACAATGTGAAACTTAACACCTATTGTACAAAATGTAGAGCTCAATAAATATCAATAAAAAATGAGAAAAAAAAAAGAAAAAGTATGACCCACTACCACCTGGATCTGTTTCTGCATTGATCTTGTGTAGCCCAGGGTGGCCTTGAAACAGAGATCCATCTTCCTCTATCTCCCAAATCCTGGGATTAAAGGTGTATGACACTACTGTCTAGCTTCTAGTGGCTTAGTTTTACTTTCTGATCTTTAGGCAAGCTTTATTTATTAAAACATAAATAAAATATCACTATAGTCCAAGGCTAGCTCCTTCTCTTAAGAGGGCCAAGAATTTGGGGCTGCAGAGATGGTTTGGTGGTTAAGAGCACTTGCAGAGGGCTGGGTTTAGTTTAGAGTGTTAGTTACAAGGTGTTATGGATAATGATCAGGAAAAAGGCTAAATAAGATTAGATTCAGAGTTCTTATTTTGGAAAAGAAAAAGAAATGCTGTAGGATAATGCTCTTGTACACTATAAAGATTTGTCACTCATATTAGTTTAATGAAACACTTACTGGCCAGTAGCCAGGCAGGAAGTATAGGTAGGGCAACCAGGCTAAGAATTCTGGGAAGAGGAAAGACAGTCATCAGCCAGATGCAGAGGAAGCAAGACAAGAATGGCCTCTTGAGAAAAAGTACCAAGCCACATGGCTAAACATAGACAAGAATTATGGATCAATTTAAGTTGTAAGAGCTAGTTAGTAATAAGCCTGAGCTAACAGACCAAACAGTTTATAATTAATATAAGCCACTGTGATTTTCTTTGGGACTTAACGACTGTAGGACCCTGCAGGACAGAAACTTCAGTCTACAGGGAGGTACAGAGAACCTAACTATAATTTTTCTCTTTATAAGCCATTCCTATTTGGCAAGATAGTTTAGAAAATTTTCCAGACTTCAAGGTTTTAGTCAAGAGGCCACTACTAGTTTGCCTTTTCCAGTCTACTTGTCCCGATGGCCTTGGGGGTGAATGTGCTACAAACATCTGGTGTCTCTAGGCGGCTGTAAAAAACTGCGAAGAACAATGTAAGGAAGACTCACAGTTCCAGGAGATTAAGAGCATCATGTGGGGGAACATGGGCACCACAACTTGGGGTTTGTTCCCATGGTTATTATAGGCCTGGATGTGTTAACAAGATTAACCATCAAGCAGATTTCTTTTATAGGTGATTGCAGCCAATCAGATTAATGGAGATAAGCTACATCCTTGCACACAGCTCCGGGGGTTGACCTGATGGGACCCTTGAAGGAATGAAGAAATGACAGACACGTTCGCAGAAACTGGGATCACATGGTCTGGGCTCTCTCATGGAAAAGACTGCAGAACTCTGGAAGCTCAGTGTGTTTATTGTATACAGTTAAGCAGGGAGGCGGGTTTATTGTATTCAGCTGAAGGGGAGGGGGACGGTTTGTAGTACACAGCTGAGCAAGGACACTGGCTTAACTAATCGTAGCAGGAGCAGTCTATAGGGGAGCAGTCTTCAGGCCATAAATACCCAGGAGGACACAGCTCCAGTGGACACTTTGTGCACCTTGTCATTGGAACTTGAGAGAGGAGGAATGGTTTTCCCACTCCCATGGTGGATCGAAGGTATTGGGCTCCTTAATATGGCTGTGCCCATATCAAGCACACACACATCCACTCAAGGCTTCATTCACTCACTACAGAGATATGAAAAGATAACCCTCAAGTCTGGCAAGAATGCTGAGCGATAGACACCGCTACCCATTCTACCGAGAGTAAAACCATGCCTCTCTGGAGAGCCATTGGGTATTTGCAATGTAGTGTACTTTTGAAGAGTTTTAGACTCATATACCCAGAAGTTCCATTTCTGTTTAGGTCTATTTGAAGTTTGTAAATGTGGATAAAGAGATACATACGAAAGAGTTTAATCTAGCTTTTTTTTTTCTGTGATCAAAAATGTGTACCATTCAGCTGTAGGGAAATGTTCAATAAATTATGTTATAGTTCCAGGTGGACCATTAAGCAGAAAAAAAACCTTACAGGTAAGTTCCCAGCACTATATCCCCTAAGGAGTCCTAGCCACTGGGCTGGCAGGGCGCGAGGACGCGCATGCGTGAGTTGGGGCGGGGCCTTGGGCGGCTCTCCCAGCGCCGAAGCCACGCCCACCTCAAGTCACTGACACGTGATCCAGCGAGCCCGGCTGTGCCCACTGCGCTGCCCAGCCCGGAGGCCAAGCCTCCAGGCTCCTGCGGTGCAGCCTCGGTGACCCGGAGCCCCGCGGTGCGCAAGCCGGGCTAGCGTGACCCCGGCCGTGGCGTGGCGTGCGGGGAGGAGCCGTCCCGTGGCAGGACGCTCAGTCCGGGTGCGAGGGAAGTGAGTGCGGGCAGCGGCGCGCTGGGCCGTGGCGGGGACGGGGACGGGGACGGGGACGGGGACGGGGGCGGAACCGGGTCGCCGGCGGGCTGCGGCCACGCACATCCTGCTGGCCCGTAGGCTCGCCCCGGCCTGCAGCGCCGAGAGCCCGGGTCGGTTCGGAAAGCCTCCCGCTGTACTTGCACTCTGGGGATTTGGAACGGCTCCAGAAAGCGCCACCTGAGCCTGTTTTCCCAGCACCTGCTGCCAAGTTCACGCACGTGTGTATAGGGCTCGGGGGGGTGGAGGGGAGTTCAACTTTGGGAAGAAGATGAAGTTGAGAACTTTTAGGATTTTAGTTGTAGAGATGACCGTACATTAGGTGAAGAAAGAAGATTGCGCATTTTACAAGTCGAGGTCACATCTGTCCCTTAGGATTTATCAGAGCCACTATTATTATTGGTTTATTGGGTTTTATGAGACTGGTTAGGCTGACCTCCCCCCTGTTTAGGGTGATCTTGAACCCTCTGCCTCCCTACTGCTGTTGGTACAGGCTAGCGTCACCAGGCCTAGTATTATTATTTTTGAATTGTTCCGTTTTTCCTATGCTAGATTTTTGTTTGGGAAGCTTTATTTTCTAAGTCATTTCACGCTAGATCTCATATAAAATATTTAAAGGCAAACTCGCTTGTTTTTGGAAAATAAATATTAAGCGATGTTTTATTTGAACACATTATGTACTTGGCACTGTCGTGGGTGCTTTGGTTAGAAAAGAGCGGTGTGGACGAGGTGCCTACTTCTTTGTGGGGTAAGAGGGACTCTTGGTCACCGGCACTGGGACTCCTCACGGTGCTGCCGCTGTAGAAATGAGTATGAAAGAGTCTCAAAAGACGTAACATACTACCTAGCTATACGACTTCAATACCCAAAGGTCTAAGCCCCCACCGCAGAGACGCATGCACTTCTGTGCATACTGCTGCATTATAGAAGAAACGGAGCCTTCCTAGATGTCTGTCATCAGACTGTTGGATTTTAAAAGTTGGTACATGTATACAGTAGAATTGTACTTTGCCATAACGTACATGACATTTGTAGGAAAGTGGATGGAACTAGAAACAACCCCGCTAAGTGAAAGAAACCAAACTCAGACAAGTGCTGGGTTTCTTTCATGTGAATTTAAGTAGTTAACAAATTTAAATTAATTAAATTGTTCTTTGACAATTTTATACATGTACACAATGCATTCTGACTGCTCTTGTCCCTTACTCTTTCTTGACACCCCAGCCCACTGGCAACCCCCTCTTCCCTGCAAAACTCCCACCTTCCTGTCTTTTTGTTTTATGTCCCCTGGGAGTTTTACCAGGACCACCTATGTTGCCATAGATTTAGAAGGAGTCATTTGAGCTTAGTGGCTCAGTGGTGGGTGCACAACTGAACAGTGCCCCCCCCCCTCCCAGAATCTACCATTGGCCAATAGTTCAGAAGTCAGGAGCTGGCTGAGAGCTGCTCCCCGACCCTTGGTTTGACAGGACCCGTCTTGTGCAGTTCCAATGCAGGTCATCAGCTGTCGGGAGCTGACGACTGCAGGGACTGTATTGTATCTAGAGGGTGGAATTTCAGAACACCTACTTCTGCCTGCTGCCTTTTGAATTCTCTTTGTTCCCTGTCCTATAGTTGTTCCTTAAGCCACAGAAGGGATGGTATCAGCATCTTGTTTAGGGCTGATTCCGCAGCTCTCCTCATCCTCAGCAGTCTTGAGTGGCTGTGAAACTGCATTCACCACTACTCATGGCAAACAGAGGTTCTCTAGGTCTGAGAGTACCATTTGTCTATAATTATGAACATAGGTATTTAGTAGGGCAGCTTGACATCTTGTCAGTTAAACTAAACAACAGTGGTTAGTTTTGTTGTCAGGGTTTCTGTCCTGCCTGGTTCCCTCAGTTGTTAAGTTCTAAAGAAATCACACAGAGGTCTACATTAATGATAAACGGATTGGCCCACTAGCTCAGGCTTCTTCTTAACTCTTATAACTTATACTAGCCCATTAGTCTTGTCTATGTTAGCCATGTTGCTTGGTACCTTATTCAGCGAGGCAGTCATATCTTGCTTCTTCTGTGGCTGGATCAGGACTGCATTCTTTTCCCAGAATTCTCCTGTTCTTATTGACCGGCCTCTTCTTCTTGTCTGGTTGTCCCGTCTATACTTCCTGCCTGGCTACTGGCCAATCAGCGTTTATTTAAAATATAATTGACAGAATACAGACAATTGTCCCATACCACAGTTTCCCTCCAAAGACCTATGACTTCTCGAGGTATGGATTTTGGACAGGTTTTTCAGTACTGGGCATGGATTTCCTCCATGGAGCTGTCCATAAATCCAATCAGAGAGAGATTGGTTATCTCTATAACAGTAGTGCCAATATTACACTGGTGGGTACCCCTTGCCTGGCAGGTTGTGGTTAGAGTTCATAGAGTTTCAGCTGGGTAAGCTTTGTCTCCTCTCTAGCAGCCTTCATGGCACCATCTGGCACTAAAAGCTAGCCAGCAGGGAGGATGTTTCTGGGTCAGGTCCAGCTTGATGTCTTTGTATCTTGGAACCAAGAGGCATGGAACCTTCAGCAGTAGAATCTTATCATTTAATTCTGTTGGGCAACCAAGAAATGGCCAGAGCCTGCGCTGCTTTGGGGGCCTCTGGGGCTTCTCTGACCAACAATTCCTATGGGAGTGTGGTCTGAATGAGAATGGCCCTGACTGGTTCATATATGTGAATGTTGGGTCCCCAGTTGGTAAGACTGCTTGGGAAGGATTAGGGAGTGTGGCCTTGTGGGAGAAGAGGTGTCACTGGGGATGGGCGTTGAGGAGGTTTCGAAAGCCCATGCCATTCCCAGTTTCTTTCTGCCTGTGGATCGGATATAAGCTCTCAGCTACTGTTCCAGTGCTATGCCTACTCGCTTACTGCCATACCCCCCCACCATGATAGTCATGGATTCTACCCTCTAGAACCGCAGTAAAGTCTTTCATATTATAAATTTTCTTAGTCATGGTGTCTTTTTCACAACAGTGGAAAAGTAACCAAGATAGGAGGTGCCCCACACCTGGCACTGAGGTTTTTCCTCGATAATTTGTTGCCTCTGGGGCAGCATTAGCAAGCCTTGCAAGTTACCTGCCTTTGAAACTTTGATATTTTTCAGTTGGGCTTCCATATGGCTTTGAGACACCCTTTGGTTGACACTCCCCTTCCCTCATCTGCCCCACTATCCTAGCTTAAACCTTTCTGGCCCAGTATTCCTTCGTCTCTTCTATATGTTGAGTAGCACATGAAACTCTCTCCTCCCTTAACGTCTCCCTATTCCCACTGTCCCCTTTCCGGCTTCCTGGCTTCCACCGATATTCCAAGTTAAACGCCCAAAACTGAAGTGCTGAAACTGAGGTTCTGGATCTGAATTCTTACATCTGTGCTGGGGGGTGGAGATATGGGATCATGAAATTTAGGAAGGAGACCAAGAGAAGGGAAAAGCTCGGGAGATGGGAAGAAAGTGATAGAATATGAATGACATGAAGCTGGAGAGATGGTTCAGTGGTTAAGAATACTGACTGCTCTTCCAAAGGACCTGGTTTTGATTCCTGACACCCACAGAACAGCTCATACCTGTCTTATAACTCCAAATCTAGTGCCCTCTTTGGTTATTTGTAGGCACTGCATGCGTGTAGTGCACAAATATGCATGCAGGCAAAACATTCATATACTATACATATATATTTATACACAGACCACACAAATATATACTATAGACACACATACATGCACTGCACACACATATATAGATACATACATATATATTTATACACACACCACACTTATACTATAGACACACATACATGCACTACAAACACATATATACATACATATATATTTATACACACACCACACAAATAAATACTATAGACACACACATAAGCACTATACATACATGCACATATATTACACATGACATGAAGGCAGAAGGGGGTTATTTCCAGAGGGAAGGGGGTCAGAGATCAGGGAGGGGAGTGGGGAGATTCAGCTAGACAAACTGAAAGGAAATGTCATGATGAAGCCATGACTGAGTGCTAGTTATAATAAGAGAGTCTAAAAATTACCTTGGAATAAACAACAGGAACACCAAAGATTTGTAAAGAAATATTGCTGAAATAAAAAAAGGAATCAGACCATAAGTTTTTATGAGCTATAAAGAGGTATTTAGATTTTCAGTCTTTACATTTTGTTTTCGGATAGCATATGGTCCGGCCAGCTGTTTTCTTGGAATTTTGGTTTCCTCGCCTCAGATCTTTTGTGTTTTCACGCAAACCACGACAAGACAGCTTTCAATACAAACACATTTTGAATGAGACCTTGGGGGGGGTTACCCCTGTCAATAAGTCCTGTCACAAAGCAAACAACCTTGGCGCTCCTGCGGAGGGAGCAGCTGACAGAGTTCAAGCTGGAAATGTTTGAGAGGAACGGGTTTGAAGTGAGGCGGGATTTAGGCCTGGAAGGTGAAGCGAGTCTGTTGGGATGGCTATGGTGGCTGTGATTGGCAGAGGAGATACACCTGTGCTTTCTGTTTCACCATCTCCTTCGAATTATCCCAGGTACTATTGTCTCTAGAAATGGGAACGGAGGCGCTTTCATTGGGTAGATTGCACGGACTTGGATTTCAAGTTCCCGGGATGGCACGTAACTTTGCCCTGTTTAAAAACACGCAGGTTGTTCGATGCGTGAGGACCATGGTGAAGCTGATTCGCACACTGGCAGATCACGGTGATGACGTCAGTTGCTGTGCCTTCTCGCCTTCCCTCTTGGCTACCTGCTCCTTGGACAAGACCATCCGCCTGTACTCCCTAAGTGACTTAGCGGAGCTGCCACACTCCCCGCTGAAGTTTCACACCTACGCTGTCCACTGCTGCTGTTTCTCGCCCTCGGGACACGTTTTGGCATCATGTTCAACAGACGGTACCACGGTGCTGTGGGGTGCGCACAGCGGACAGTCCCTGGCCGTGATGGAGCAGCCCGGTGGCAGCCCTGTGCGCGTTTGCTGCTTCTCCCCGGACTCCGCATACCTGGCATCGGGGGCCGCTGACGGATCTGTTGTTTTGTGGAATGCACAGTCATACAAATTGTATAGGTATGGCTGTTTCAACCCCTCCTGGCTTGACCCCTGTTAAAATTAAATTTTACTTTTTATTGTGGTAAAATGGGCATAGAGTTGACCATGTTAGCCGAAACGGTTAAGTGCCCTAGAAATCATGGCCATTATGTTAACAATGAAAGACATCTAATGTTCTTCCTGCTTGGTGTCTGCGGGAGCAGGAGGGCCAGGTGGCTAAAGAAGATGGCGCCTTTGTGGTCTCAGCTGAAGAAGCTGATGCTTTTAAGTGGTGGGGGAGGGTTACCCGGGTTTAACCCAGGTAGCTCAGATGAATGTGGGCTCTCTGATTTTTAGAAATGGGTGCCTGCGGTTAGTGATTTCCACCTGTGGCGCAGCTTCCTTCCTGCACGTGACGACTTCTGCACTAATTGCCGTCCTTGCCGTCTTGTTTTCTTACCTGAGGAACCGTGTTGCCAGGACAGCGCCTTTGCCCTCTCTTCCCAGGAGAATTCCTGTTCACCACATGTGTTTTTTTTTTTTGTTTTGTTTTGTTTTTTTCCATGAAGAGTTGGTTTGAAGATGAGGCACAGGGCCTTATTACTATCTGAAAGATTTTAATACAGAGAGAAACTGAACGTGCTTTTTATTATAATAGCTTGTCTTTCTAGTAAAAAGCATCCTGTATGTTTTAAATACGGCCATTGTTACTCTTGGTTGTTTTTTGCTTTTTTATGTTTTGGGGTCTTAACGTGCTCCTGTTTACCGGCTAGAGACATGAGGATTGTAGCAACTCAGATCCTCGTGAGGTGGTTTCAGCTGATATGTTTCGGTGCCCCAGGGACTCCATCAAGAATGTCGGGGTACAGCATTGATGCTTTATTTTGTCGGCATCAGTCGTCCCGTCTAGTTCTGTCATAGGCAGCTGTCCTTTCAAGCGGGACCGTAACATAAAGAACCTCACCTTCTCCTGCATGGCTTTGTTTCAGGTGTGGTAGTGTCAAGGATGGCTCCCTGGTGGCCTGCGCGTTCTCTCCTGACGGAAGCCTCATCGTCACCGGCTCCTCGGGTGGAGACTTAACAGTGTGGGATGACCGCATGAGGTGTCTGCACAGCGAGAAAGCTCATGACCTCGGAATTACCTGCTGTGACTTCGCCCCACAGCCCCTTTCTGGTGGGTTAGCCTACCCTCTTCAGCACTAGATCCCTGTGTATAACTCCTCTGACTTGGTCCTTTGAGGCTTCATTCTGTCGTTAGGATGGAGAGTCTGCCCATTTTATTACAGGATCATCCTTTTTCTCTCTTTAAATCAGAATGAACCGTGAAGAGCTATTATATGGGGGAAAAAAGTCTTTTTTTTTTTTTTGTCTGTGTAAGACAATTCTGTTTGTTACTTACAAATTCTTTTTTTTTTTTACAGACTTAACTGTTGCCTTTACTGTTTTTTTTTTTAAATTGAATTGGGATAAAAGTTGGAAGTTTTTCTTTTTCCTTTTCTTTCTTTCTTTCTTTCTTTCTTTCTTTCTTTTTTTTTTTTTTTTCCTGAGGCTGCTGTGTATCTTTGGCTGTACTGGAACTAGCTTTGTAGACCAGGCTATCCTCAGACTCACAGAGATCTACCTCCTGAGTGCTGGGATTAAAGGTGTGCACCACCATGCCTGGCTAAAAGGACTTTTCTTTTTTTAAGACAGCAAATTCAGAATAAAGTTATAATCCTAAGTAATTCCTATTTAGAAGAAATTCTGTAGCCATTTTAGTAATAGTTTCATTGTCTCAAGGGTCATTGTTCATCTGGCCTAGATGAGTCCCATTAGCAGATCTCGGCAGAATCAGAACTCTCTGGCTTAAATGTTTTACCAGTTCTTTGTGTTTGTTTCTCTAACTTGCTGTTTTTAGGTGGAGAACAAGGCTTTCAGTTTTACCGATTGGCATCATGTGGTCAGGATTGTGAAATCAAACTCTGGTTTGTCTCCTTTACCCGTGCCTTAGGTATGTTTCCACTGTCTGAAACTGTTTGTGACCTATGGAAGACTTTCATCTTTTTTTTTTTTTTAAACTTAAGATACTCTGGATATTTTAAATGATGGTAAAATTTTGCTCTAAGAAACTTACTGAGTAGGCTGTTGTGGCACACACTTTAAATCTGAGTGTTTAGGAGAAGGAGGCAGGAAGGTAAGTACTTTGGTAGCAGGCTCAGCTATGTAACATGGACGAGGCCAGCCCGAGCTATACCAGACCCAGCCTCAAAAGCAAAGAGAAACTTTGACTGGACGTAAACGCCTGCCATCCACGGCTGTCTCTGACCACACCTTCCCTGCACACCTTAGAATCCACCCTGCACTTGACTTAGCGCTGACTCTCAGTGTTTTCCCTACTCTTGGGAAATGCTATTCATATGACCTTTACATTTATTTATTGTGGCTGCTGTTTGTTGATGTGTGACTCTTCCTCCTCGGTCTCATTGTCCTGGGTGGCCTTTCATTCAGGACATACATGGTGGTCCGCTTGGCCCCGGTGTTCCTTTATAGTGTGTATATATGATTCTTCCTCTCCTGTGCTCTCTCTGAACCTCGGTCAGTTGGATGTGGGACCACTTGAGTTGATTCTCCCCTCCCAGCCACACACACACATTCACCTTTCCCGCTGTTGAATCTGTATCTTATTTTTTCACTCTTTGAGGAAAACCTTTACTTTTAATCTTTTGAATCGATCTCGTCAGTTTCTAAAAGTTCATCTTTATGTCATTTCATTTTTTTTTCTAAGGTTATGTATTGGGGCTGGAGAGATTGCCCAGTGGTCAGGTGTGCTTACTGTTCTTGAAGAGAGCCTGAGTTCAATTTCTAACACCTGTGTAGGATGCTGACAGGGTCCCCTGTGGGCACCTGTGCTCACAGATGTTCATGTATGTATAATTAAAAATCAAATATAGCTGGGTGATGGTGGCGGCACGTGTCTTTAATCCCAGCACTCTGGGGATAGAGGCAGATCTCTGTGAGTTTGAGGCCAGCCTGAACTCTATAGAGTTCCAAAACAGGCTCCAAAGCTACAGAGAAACCCTGTCTCTAAACCCAATATGTGTCTCTCTGTGTATGTATGTATGAGGGTGGGGCATACATGGTGTGTGTGTGGAGGCCACTGTAGTTTGAAGTTGGTTTTCTGCCGCCTCCACGTGGGTCTAGGCACCGAACTCCACTCCTCCGGCTTCTGTGGCAAGCACCTTTACCCCGAGCCATCTCATTGGCCTTCTCTTTCCTTCCCTGTTGTAGCTGGTTTGCTGCTCTTGCTTTAATGAACAAGAAAAGGAAGAATTTCCCGAATGCCCTTGTGATCTCATAACCTCTGGGCTTTGCCTTTGCTTGCTTGGATCTTTCTCATCCGCACCGCTCCCTTCTCCAGACGTCCAGTGACAATATCTGTTTCCATCTAGAGATCTGACAGCGAGGGTGTCAGGAGCTCCCAGCCCACAAGTCTGTAGGATGAAGTCTGTTTGCCTTTGGGGGAGGGAGTGGAGGGCAGATGGAGCTTGTCTTCGACCACCATTTTTCTTATATAGGTTTCTCCTGGGGCCAATCGCCTGCCTTGTGGAGCATACTGTTGGGCGGGGCTGGGAGGGACTGAGGTGGACAGCAAGTGTTTCCTGTTCAGACTCTGAGGTAATTGTTGTTTCTGACCTTGTTCCCTGGCTGTTGATGGTCCTATCTGAAAGCTTTTCCTGGGACTGAATATTTCCTCTTCACCTTTAGCCCCCTGCACTGAACTCTGGGCAGTCATCTCTGAGCTGCCTGTCCGTTGACCTGTTTTCTGACCTTCCACAATTGGGTTCAGTGTCCTGAGGATGCCTCCTTCCCAGGCACTTCTGAATGCATTCATATCTTGATGAATCATGCCCTGTCATTTAAGGATTCTGAAGCTCTGTGGTCTTATAATTTTTTGATCTGCGTGCGTCAAAATGGGGTGTCACTTCTTACCTAATAAGCATCAGCTAGAACACAAACCACAATTTTGTCATGAATTGTACTAGAATGTAGGGGAGAGGTTGCGAGGAAACGAGACTGCTCTTGTCAGTTTCCGTGGAAAACACTTTCATTTATAACACGAGACTGCTCTTGTCAGTTTCCGTGGAAAACACTTTCATTTATAACACAGTGGGGAGGCGGGACTTCTGCCTTCTCAAGTCTGTCCTGGTAAGAAATACAAATAAGTCACGTGTGTGGGCATCCTCAATACAGTTAGCTTGAAATCGTTCAAAAGGGAAACCTGCAATACCCCGTAAACTATCTTCACATGGCTTTGAGAAACATGGATGACTTCTAGAGTGTGTGGGGAAAGCCTCTTTAGACAGCATCTGTCGCTGTCACCGTGGGCACCTTCCTCATCTTTGATGGTATTGTGGGGCCCAGGCAGGCTGGGGCCTGGGCTCCCTGAGGAACCACACTCACGCGTGGGTTCTGCAGTCACCTGCCCTGAGTAGCTGACTTCCGCTCTGTTTGACTGTGGGGATGAAAGCTTGAAAAGTTCACCTTGTGTTTTGGGATTTGTCGCTGTCTGGATGCTCTCTGCTCTCCCAGGTAAACGTGTGTGTCTGTCCCACTTTGAGTGTGAAGCCTTTGCTGCTCTTCCATAGAACCCGTGGCTGGTTAAATATTTGATGTCTGACACGTCAGCAGAGATTTTAAGGTCTCACCACTTCATAACTTCTTGTGCTTACGTTTACAAGTTGACATCAGAACACCCTGAATTCTGCTTACTTTTAAGAGAGTTGTTTATTTTTAGTAATTCTAAAGATTTTATGGTGGTACTTTTTTCCCCTTTGCTTTTGAGACAGGGTTTCTCTGTGTGACAGCCCTGCCTGGCTGTCCTGGAACAAACTCTGTAGACCAGGCTGACCTCAAACTCACAGAGATCCACCTGCCTCTGCCTCCTGAGTGCTGGGATTAAAGGCGTGCACCACCATATCAGGCTAAGGTTGGACTTTCTAAGAGAGCTGTGGATACTGTAGAGTTGTAGAATGTATAAATACCATTAATTTATGTAAGAAAGACAAAATGTGTTGGTAATGTCAGATTTTACAAAGTGCAAGCACTTGTTTTGATCTTCCCAGGTGCTAAAATTATGCATACTTCACATCTTTAAAATTTTTAGTGATTATAAAATTGCTCTAGCCTAATCTTTGCAGAGCACATGTTTTTAAAAAGTCTGTCATTGGCAGCACTAATTGGATTTAATGGATTATATGAAAAAAATCTACTGTTGTGTGTGTGTGTGTGTGTGTGTGTGTGTGTGTGTGTACGTACGTACGCACGTACTAGAGAGTAGACTCAGGGCTACATCCCCAATTATTACTGAGTTTGAAACCATCTCAAACCTTCATTACAATGACCTGATATCTGTATGGATACCCAAGCTGCATGAAGATTTTTATGACTTAGTCTTTTTGTAAAGAATAGGAATGAAATAGCTTTGACTTAAAATAAATTGTAAGCATTATCAACTTACTAATTTTCTCTCCTTGTTAATTACAGGCTTTGAATTAAAATATAAAAGTACGCTACGTGGGCACTGTGCCCCTATTCTGGCTTGTGCTTTCTCCCACGATGGGCAGATGCTTGTGTCAGGGTAAGTGATCTCTGACTAAACCGCCGATGCTCCTGAGGCAGCCCCCTGTCGTTGTTGCCTGGGTGACATTCAGCTGTTTGTGCAGAGGTCCGAGCACAACTTGCAGGAGCTGGTTCTCCCCTTCCACAGTGTGGGTTCCAGGGCTTGAACTCAGGCCAGCAGGCTGGTGGCAGTCATCGTTACCCGCTGAGTCATTCTGCCAGCCCAGTGGTTTTTCTCTCCTTTCCTATCTTCTAAGTTTTAACCGTTGAGTGGTAGGGTGCTACCTTGGCTTGGTTAGTTTGTATTTTCCTTCAGAACAGTGAGGTCAGAACTTCATTGAGATCTATTTTAGCATCAAATATATTTCCCCTGCATCTCAGGATGATCTCAGGTGAGTTCCACTCATTTCCAACTTAAACTTTGCTTTGTTGCAGGAGATAGGCCTGGTGCTTTATATGGTATATTGCTGTAGAGAAAGTTACTTTTCAATCTCACCATTTTGGATGTGATTCATATTTTTTTTTCCTTCTAGATGTTCATAAAACTTTTAATATGTAGCTTCCTGTACATTCACTTAAGTATATCTACACATGGGCTCAATTTAGGCTGTTAGGAAGTTTTAGAAAACAAATTAGGGGGAGGGCCAGGAGCATGTGCTCTGTGTGAGAACCAGAGGTGGCTTCTCTCCTTTTACGACAGGGGTACCAGGGATTTAGCTGCTCATGTTGTCAGACAGTCTTTGAATCACCAGCTCCCAAATGGAGACTTACCAAGTATGAAAGCTTAGCCTTAGCTTATTCCCAACTAGCTCTTAATAGTTAGCCTGTTTACATTAATCTGCGTCCTTCCACGTGGCTCGTTACCTTTCCTCCATACTGGACATCCGACTTCCTCCACAATTCGCTGACGAAATCTGCCGCTTTTCTCCCCAGAATTCCTCTCTCTGCCCAGAAGTCCTGCCTATCCTCTCCTGCCTAGCAATTTGCTACTCAGCTCTTTACTAAACCAATCAGAAGGTGTCTTTCACACAGTGTGCTCAAACATCCCACCGTATCCTCAGGCTTGGCAACTTCCTTCTCCTCCTCCCTCTTTTTCTTCCTCCCCCTCCCCCTTCTTCTCCCTCTCCCCCTTCCTCTCCCTCCTCCTCCTCTTCTTCTTCTTCCTCCTTCTCCTCCTCGTCCTCCTCCCTCTTCCTATAGCCCATTCTCTCCACCTCCTGCCATATTGTGTTCTTCAGGCAACAGCAGCCTAAACCAGTAAACCCTTCTTCCTCTAAGTCAAAATACATTAAATGGAAAAATGGATGTATTTACAGTGTGGGCCAAAAGCTGGGGAGAGTTCTCTGTCTCTGCCTCCCCCGCAGCAGTGTGACGGGTTACAGAAAGGATGGGACGAAGGATAGGAAATATACAGATAATTAGCTGGGGCCTAGGTGCCTTAAGCTGGCAGAGAGGTTTTAAAAGCTGGGTTCTTGATACACCTTCCAGGATTAGGAAGCAGGAGCCCAAGCGCCATCCCTCTCAGCATGGCTCCTGCGGGGAAACCGAGGATGACAGCTGCGGCCTTAGCTGGGCATCATCACTCACACCTACAGACCCAGCACTTTAGAGACGGCAGCAGGAGGATTGCCTGTAGTTTAAGGCCCACCTAGTGTACAGTATGAGATCCTTCTTAAATAAATAAGATGAATATAATAAAGAATAATACGTTCTGATTTTGAGGGAGCTCAGGTTATGCTAGAGTCTTGAGCCTCTGCGGACCTAGGGAGGTCATGGGCATTGCTGAAGTGGCAGGTTGGCTCTCTTGCCAGCACACAGGATGGGGCTGAGGTCAGTCCGCGCTAATGACATAAGAATGACACATTTCAGGCTCAGGAGTTTATGAACTAAAGAAATGTAAAATAGCCGAAAGCTTTCAGCAGTAAAAATACCCTTTTGAAAATATAGTGTGTATGTTTGTGTGTGTGTGTGTGTGTGTGTATTTCCGAATAAATAGGAATATTTGCTTGTGTTGTAAGCAGCAAAAAGGCACAGATCGGGCTACAGACAGTGTATTAGAGAAACACATTCCAGTGGAATGGAAACAGTACCATATGTTGTAAGAATAGATTCCACACATAGTGATTCTGTAGGTAAAAGTCCTCTGGAAGGTTTGTAATGCATAGAAAAGATTAACGCTCTTTCTCTAGTTTGCTTTTGCCACTGTGACAAAATCTCCTTTTAAATGATACAATTTTAATATATGTCTTCTGTGTGCGTGTGCATAAACACAACACCACTGTGTTTTTTTTTTTTTTTTTTTGCGATGCTGAGAACTGAACTTAGGGCTCACACATACTAAACACACTCTCCACCACGGAGCTATTTATCTATGTTCCTAGCTCTGTCATCACGTGTCGTCCGAAACATTTCTACCACACATGCAAGGCTCATCACTTAGACTAAAGCCAAGATATTTGTGCTTCTAACCGCTGCTGAAAACATCTGGCCCACATCTGCTGATTCTTTCCCCCAGATCTTGCAGTTCTTGCCCAGCAGTCAGCTAAATCGTCGTGTTTGCCACTATTTAGGTGTGTCTCGTTCCTAGCTGGGTGCCGTGGGACCGTGATGTAATTCTATCCCTGAGAAAGCTGCAATAGGAGGATTGTGAGTTCAAAGCCAGCCTGGGGTCATAGACTAAGACTCGCTCAAAAAACAAACAAAGCGAATTCTCTTTTGACCCAGGAGAGATAGAACTGAGTTTCCTTCTCTTGTCTAGGACTAGGCTAATGGACACAGTGACTGCAAAATTGAACAAGTATGTCAGGCTGTCTTGGGGAAGAACAGGACACAGGGGATTCTGAGTTGCAACTCTCGTAGTTGAGTTCCTAGTGATTATCTAATAACACCGGGGTCCTGGTAGCCCCCCTCCTTCCAAATCGTGAGGGAAGTGCTGTGTGTTGTTTTCAGTCCCTTTCCCAGAATTCTAGTTTCCTGTCAGCCTTTGTCTTGTCACCATTAGGTGGCTGGCGTATTAGTATAAGGTTAGAACTTTGAATGTTTTAGGTGTATGCTGATGCTGTAGGTAACATTTGACTGTTTTCTGGATATTTTTAGTTCATTTGGATAGACAGGCAAGTGAGGGAGTTGAAGTTATAACTTGGTGAAATATAAGCATTTAGTTCTTAAAGCAGGAGTCTGGGGGCAAGGCAAGAATGAACCAGTGGGATAATATGAGAGGGAGATTTCACACGTCCTCTGTCACCGTGAGATGGACTGCACACTCGAGACAGGCAGACAGTGAGGAACACAAGCTGAAGTGTACAGACGCCAGTGACTTGAAAGGACAATGACAGAAACAAGTGAGATCCGAGGTCAGAAGTCGTACGCAGAGGTAGGGGTGACATGGGGAAAACAGTAGACTTAGAGATGCGGATGGGGATGTAAAGTCAGAAACCTTATTTCCTAGAAATTTCCTCTAGGTTAAAACGTATCATGTTACTCTGTTTCACCACACTGCGGTACAGTACCGGAGGCCTGGCATCTTTAGGAAGAAGGGCATGTGGGGCTTAGCAGTGAAGAGCTCCTGCCCATCTTCCAGAGGACCTGAGTTCCGTCCTGCACCATGTCAGGAGGCTCCCAACCTTAACTGTAGCCCCAGGAGGTCTCACTGCCTCTCCTTGTCTCCATAGGCACCTGCTCACTTATATACAGACAAATAATAAAATACATTTTCAGAAATTAAAGGAAAAGCAATGCTCCTTTTCTCCCTACCAAGGCATTTGTTTGCATTTTATTTTGTATATAGATGCCAGGCTCTCGAATGAATCAGCCAGTCCCCTTACTCTATAATGACTAGCAGAAGGTAACTTAAGTCTGCATTTCCCAAAACCCAGTTCCTGTCCTCCCTTTATTCTCATTACACCTTCCTGACAGTTGTCCCAATCCAGTGCTCAAACAAGTCACTGATTCTGCTTCTCACGTGACATTGTGTCTGATGGTGGTTCCTGAGACTGGAATTTATTGTTGTAAGCCTGACATTTAAAGAATGTATCTATTTGAGACATAGTGTCATGATGACCAGGTGGGAGGATTGTTTTCAATATAAACTTGTGATGAATGGGCTCTCATCAGAAGGAGATGGTACCAGCTGTCCTTCCTATAGAAGCTTAAATGGACATGTGTGTGTTTACGTGCGTGCGTGTGTGCATGCATGTGTATGTATTTCAACTGATGAATTTTTCACGTCTTTCATGACATCTTTAAGGTTTAACGTAGTACTGATATTCATCCGTGCTGCTGAACAGGGCATCCTGAGTTATAAGCCCCTGTGTTGCTCTTGTTTCTTCTTGGATAGTTGTTGTCCACACTGATATGCTAAGGAACTGGGAAGTTCCACCCACCATGTTGCTGATGTCACTTCTTAGTCGTCTTTTTCTAGGATGTTAAAAGAAATGGAATTTTCCATGAGAATTTTAGTAATTTACAGCATTCATGACTAAATGAGAGCACTTATATATTATGTCTAGCATATGCATAATTCTTATTTTGAATCTATGACAAAGATTCTGAGCTTAGCATTGGGTTGCCTACTGAACAAGGCACCTTAAGCTAATAGGTGGGACTCCTTTGACTCTAGCCCAATACATTCTCATGATGATGAACACAGATAGTAGTGTTACACAGACAGTGGTAGCACGGGTCTTGCTGACCTCGCAGTGTGTATCGTGTTGGCAGAAAGATTTCCAAGAGTGGAAAATCAGAAACTAGCATGTTTTAACCTATTGTGTAAACCATGTGCTTCACTACAGTGTCCTAGCTCTCTCTGTATTACGAGTCTTTTTCCTACAAGAAGAGCCCACCCAGATGTCCACTCCATTCTAGCTCACTTGTCAGTCTCCCAGCCTTTCCAGAAGAGTGTACTTGGCTTGTTAGAGAACTTTTCACCTATTGTTTGCTTTTTTTTTTAAGGTCAGTGGATAAGTCTGTCATCATATATGATATTGTAAGTATATCAGATCTTGTGTGTGAACTATGTAAATTGCTTATTTACATAGTTTAATTGAACCTCGAATTTAGTTGTATAAAAATACATTTTTGTTGTTGTTTTGTCTCCCCCTCCCCCCCAGTGCAGACCAGGCTGGCTTTGAACTCATGGATATCCACCTGCCTCTGCCTCCTGAGTGCTGGGATTAAAGGTGTATACCACCGCCCAGCTAAAATACGTTTATTTTTAATATATCTATTTATTGTGCCCAAGAATATAATATTGATTCACACAATGCTGAAATAGTAAGATACTTGGAAAAACCTTAAATATTTCCATACTATCTTTATGATTTTAAATCTAATCACAGGAAACACAGAATTAGAGAGCACCAGTGTTCAAAAATTCATCCTGCCCAGCTTCCAAGGCAGCAGGCTGTGGTTGAATGTTGCCTACCCATAGTTCTTAGAGCACAGGGTGGATTCAGGGACCAACAGAAGAGTAAGTTACCACAGCCTTGGAACAATATGAGTTTGGGGCAGATTGATATGAGGAAATGCCGAACGGCATGAGTATAAGTAAAGATGAACATTTATATTTCACAAAGCTAAAGCTGATGGGAGTGACCTTTAAGAGAAAGTCAGTGTTGTGTGGCGCCGCATGACTGGGTTCAGGCATCAGCCATGATGGCCATCCAGTGGAGGCGTAAGTCATAAGAGTGTGATGTCCAACAAGTGATTAGTTACCCACACAGGAGTTAAAGTCAGTGGTCACTCAAGCCGGGTGAGAAAGAGCTGCGGTCTCTCCTACCAGCTTGTTATGGGATGTTTATATTCACAAATGGGTGTAACTGATTGTTGTCTCTAAACCACATGCTAGTCCCTGCTGGTAACTTGTCCTGACTAGTTAACCTGGGAAGAGCCACCTCAGGTGAGAAACCTGCTATATGGCCTGTAGGCAGTTCTGTCAGGCATTTTGTCTTAATGATGGATGTTAAAAGACCATTCCTGAAGCCATGATGTTGGGTGGAAGGAAGCAGGCAGAGCAAGCCTTGGAGAGCTGGCCAGCAGCAGAATCCTCCATGGCCTTTTCTGCCTCGGTCCCCGCCAGCTGGCATCCCTCAGTGATAGACTGTGATCTGGAAGTGTAAGTGGGATTAAACCGTTCCCGCCCCAGATTGCACACATCTGTAGGAACCCTAACTGGGATAGTATCTGTGCATTGACCCCCTAAGTGTGCCCAGTAGCAGCACCTTCCATCCACTGATGCTGCAGTAAGTACAGATACCACTGCAAGAATGCACCCTACTTCCTTTGTTATGCAACTGGGCTTCTAGTAACAGTCTTGGTCAAACTGGCAAATGTCAGGGGTCACTGCATCAAATTCTCCTAAGAAGGCAGTCAGTAGGCCGCCATGCTAATGACCGAGGAAGCAGAGCAAGCTCTAATATTTAGTTATGATGTCAGCCTTCCTTCAGTTGTCACTAAGTCCAGCAGGTTGGTGACCAGTAATGCATTCGGCATGTAGACCGTGTAAGTGACGCTTCATCCCTGCCTCTTTCTTCTCTTGCCTGACTAATGTAGTTATTCTCTTATTTTCCAGGCTACTCAGAGTGTGCTTCACACATTGACTCAGCATACCAGGTCTGGGTTAATTTCACTGCTCTAATACGATTAAAATACTAGCCAGACAATATGTAATGGCTGTGTTTGTTAACTAGGTATGTCACAACATGTGCCTTTGCACCCAACACCCTTTTACTTGCTACTGGTTCAATGGACAAGACTGTGAACATTTGGCAGTTTGACCTGGAAACACCTTACCAAGGTTAGTAAGATGACCCCATCCTTGTGCTGTGGGTAAGTGCTCTCTGTAGGATCCAGCCCCAGCCCAAGCAATGAACATTTTTAACCATCTCAACACTGATCAGAAATTTGGGTGTGTCTTTTTTGTAGTCTCGGGGATTGAACCCAAGGCCTTGTGTATGCTAGGCAAGTGCTCTACCTCAGAGCTACCCTCAAGCCTAAACTGTAGTTAATCCTTTAGTGTGCTATTCATATTGCCTTCCTCAATACACCACACAGACTCAAATTTAATACACATTCAAACTACTTTAGAGAATCCGGTGTGAGTTGTCTGCAGTTACGTTTTGGCAAAGGGCTTGTATGCACATTCTTGAATGTCAAGGCCCAGGAGTTTTTCCATCCTTTGTGTTTGGTCATGGTTTTTCAGGTTCACATAGCCTGAGGACAGAATAGGAATCTTAGCTTTATCTTGTTGGCTTTCCTTTTGGCCTCAGCAAGCAGCACAGGTGTGCAACTTGGTTTTCCTTTTATCATTGTCAGCAATAACCGCATGGCAGTGCTGGTGTCCAGGTGACAGCGAGCAGAGAATCCCTTCGCGGTGGGGGTATTACAGAGCAAGGAAAATCTGGACTAGAGGTGTGGGTCAGTGGTAGAGCATGTGGCCAGCATGCACAAGGCCAAGGTTTGATCCTCAGCACCACAAAAACAAAAAACTCCTAAAGGATAGCATTTCCTGCAGCATTAGGTCACTCCTGTTGGTGCTATCCAATATGCTTCTTAAGAGGAAGTTAGTCAGGCAGACTCAGAGCAGGAATGTGTAGAGGAGAAATGTTTGGTCTGCAGTACACTTGCCTGTGCGCTTTAAAGCAGGAGGCACGAAAGATCAGCTGAAGCAGTTGGTTGAAGACTGGTCAGAGGAGGACGTCTCAACGTGGCTTCGCGCTCAGGGCTTGGAGGACCTCGTTGGTATTTTCCAGATGAACAACATCGATGGAAAAGAACTGCTTCATCTCACAAAAGAAAGTCTGGCTGGTGATTTGAAAATTGGTAAGGGCGGGGGTAATGAATAATATTTCTCTGATCATATACTAGCTTTGACACAAGCATCTTCAGCTTTCTTGTGTGTCTATTCAAAGTAGAATTGGTGGGTCATAGGGAAATCCTCTGCACGACACTGGAGAGTTGTCAGGCTGCTTTCCAAAGCAGCCCTGCTATTATACAGTCCTGTCAGCATGGGGAGGGCTTCTCCATAGCCCCCCCCCAGCATGGAGGAGGGCTTCTCCATAGCTTCCCCTAGCTGGGGGGGGGGGCTTCTCTACACCCACCCAGCAAGTGAGAAAGCTCCAACACTTGTTTGCTTTTGTTATTAGCACCATCCAGTAGTTGTGGTTTCTCCTTTAGACTTTTATTTGCATTTCCATGATGACTTAGGTTGTTGGTTTAATGCATTTGGGTTGCTAGGGCAACATCCTGTAAACTAGGTAGCTAATAAATAAGAAATTGATTTCTTCATCCTGCCAAGTCCAAGATCAAGGTACTGGCAGTTTGGTGTCTAGTCAGGAGTAGCTTCTGGCTTAATGACAGTACTTCCCTTAGTGGAATGGATGAAGTCACTCTCTGGGGGCTCTTTTTTAGGGGTTCTGATCCTGTTTGTCCAAAGCCCCTCTGTCACCACTGTGTTACTTGTAACTAGGTTTTGTGCTTGCTCTTGGCCTAAGGCCGGGAATCAATGGTTTCAACATGAATATTCTTCTTCACAGTTTGGAAAATCGGCAGATTCAATAATTTAGGAGCAGAATTAGAAAACCTGTTCACCTGAGCATCTGGTTCTCCACATTGTTCTGAAATACCTGATATTTTAGCCTTATGTCAGGATCTACTGTGTGGCCATGCCCTGTGATCCTCCTGCCTCAACCTCTCAAAGGCTAAGATTACAGGCAGGCACTCTTTCCATAGAACACTAAGTTGGGATGAGACAGAATTAGAATCGGGAAAAGAGAAAATGAAAATAGGAAAGGCAAACTGGTGACATGCATGCTGACGTTTGCTTTTTGCACGCAGAAATGTCTTGTGTGCATTTTTTTGTCGTAGTTTGATTACAGGGTTTCTGATGCCAGCATAAAATCTGAATTCAGCGCATAGAAATAGTCGTGCACTGTAAGGTATGCTGGGATGTCGTAGGCCAAAGCAGTGTCCACCGTGTTTGACACAGTAGCTAAGAGACTGAGCAATGACAAGCCTCTCAGCAGTAGGATAAAGGGCTTTTAGACTTTCTTGAGTCTCTCAATCTAGTGTGTTCACCAATGTGTTTAAACCACTTTCTAGGTTGCTAATGAAAAACCTCATAGTAAGATCCTGTCCGAAAAGCACAGGTACTTGAGAAGGGTGTGAAAAAAGTGAGCCACTGTGGGTGTGCCCTCCAGCTCTGCTCCTCTGACTGTCTCAGCTCTCCAGAGATCAGACTTAGGGCTTCCCTAAAAAGTAACTCCTGATGTCATATAGTCTGTCCTGATGTTGAGGTGTTCTAGGGAATTTGTGAAGCTGTGCAATTGTGAGTACTGTTGACCTATCTTTATTATAGTGTGCAGGATAAAGAGCAAGAAAACCAACTTTGGACAGTATTAGAAGAGCCCTGAGTGCAGTCGCTAGAGCTGTGTGTGCACCGGCCTCGGCGCATAGCCAGGCCCTCGGGACGCTGTGCTGTGCTGGAGATCTTAGAACTTGGAAGTTCTAAGTTTAGAATGGCAAGTGCAAACAAACTACTGTAGGACAGAACTCATGTATTGAAATAATTAATCATACAGTTATAAATAGGAATGAAAGCGTTTTTGTTTTCGTTTTTCTTTCCATAGAGGTTTCAAAGTTTGGTCTTTCCTTTCTGTGAACTAATAAAAAGCCCATGAGGCTTTTTTTTTTTTTTTTAAGTAATTTTCCAGGTTGCTAGGGTTTGGAGGTGTGTGCCTCAACATCCACGTGTTAAGTTCGAGGGTCAGCCTGTGATACTGCAGGGAGAGGACAGTGACAGAGCTGTAAGAGTGGGATCAAGTTAGCTCATTGTCATATCCCCTGAAGAAGACACTGGGACCCCCTTCCCTTCCTCTTGCTTCCTAGACCACCAGGAAGCAAGCGGCTTCATCACTGAGTGTTCCCATAACATTCTCCTGTCAAAATGCAGGGGAGCCAACTTATCCGTGGACAAAAACCGACCCGGAGTCAACCTTTCCACCTTTCCGTCAGCTTGAGTATTTTGTCCAGTAAGAGAAAGCTGATATTAACACATCACTGAAAAATAATTCAAATTTCTTTTCTAGCCTTATGCTTCAACCGTCTTTAAACCCTCATGTCTTGAAAGTTTATTTCACTTCCCAGTGACACTTCAGATTTCCTTTTAGAATCCCTGGGGCTGCGCAGCAAAGTGATGAGGAGCATTGAAGAGCTAAGGACCAAGATGGACTCCCTTTCTTCTGGAATCCCCGATGAGTTTATCTGTCCAATAACCAGAGAGCTTATGAAGGACCCCATCATCGCGGCAGGTATGTATGGTGACTGCCAGGCTCAGGATACACGCTGGTGGGGCTCTCTGAACAAACTCATTGACACTTGGGCTGAGCTCAAAATTCCATTTTTCTCATGAGTAGGTTTTTTTCCTTTTAAAAAAAGTCATTAGATCCAAAGTAAACAGTACATTTGGAATTGAAGCCAAAAGATTTTAAGTTTTGAAATTTCACCTAAATTGATGTGAATACCAGATGAAAAGATTGTGTGAACATGTGTGTGTGCACGCGCGTGCGCGTAGGTGTGTGTGCACATGCAGAGGAAGCCATTGGGTGTCTCTCTGTCGCTGTCTGCCTTACTCCCTTAAGACACACTCTCCCACTGGAAGCTTGAACCTTGCAGATTAGGCAAGGCTGGCCAGTGAACTCCCAGGCTCCACCTGTCTCATGCTGAGGCTGGAGCCAAGGCATGCATAGCCATACCAGGCTTTTATGTGGGGACTGGTGGTGTAGGTGTGAGTCCTCATGTTCAAGGCTGCACCGGAAGCTCTTACCTGATGAGCCATCTCCCAGCCCTCAAGATTTAAGGTGACTTGTTGTGTCTGTCATGCACTCTAATGATTCAGAGACAAGAATGTGAAGATTATGAAGTTAGAAATTTATTTGATATCAGTCTCTCATCAGTATACAGATGTGCTCAGCAGAATGTTTTTGATTTTCCTTGTTGCACACACCAATGATTCATTCCTTTTCATTGCTGTATAGTGTAGCATTGCACTAGATATACCACAATACATGTGTCTATTAACTGGCAATGGGCTAGCATGTCTGAAGCTGCCATGACATTCCATGCACAGATCTTTGTCTGGAAAGGACTCATGTCTCGTCATAAAAGATTTAGGAGTGGAATTTCTGGATTGTTTTACTAAGTGCATGTTAAAACTCCTGAAGTGTTTCTCAAGGTGGATGCCCTATTTTGAGTTTATAACTGAGACTCCAGTTTCTGCCTGTATCTGCAAACTTATGTGGTATTGCTAGTTGTTCTAATCCTGAATAACAGGTATAAAGTGGCATCTCATCGGACTTTTAACCCTCCCCAGTGAAGCATCTTTCGATATGCTTCTTACCTACTGTCTCTTTCATAATATATAGCCTCCTGCCCTTTCCTCATTTTGTATTGAATTATCAGTTTGTTTTCTAAGTGTGTCTTTTGTAAGGCAATGCATCATATACATTTTCTCTACGGCATCTTTGAAAAACGTGTTTAAATTCTGATGGAATCCACAGAACCATTTTCATGTTGACTCATTTCTTAATCCTAAGAGGGCTGCCTGTCCAAGGTTGCAGGACTTTCCCTGTTTTACTCCAAACACATTATAGTTTTTAGGTCTATGGTTTATTTTGAGTTAATTTTTGCATGTGGTAAGAGATGAAAATTCTTCCCTGTTCTTGTTCTTTCCTCGCTAAAGTGAATGCCCATCCATCGGAGGCCCCACCCCCAGGCTAGGTTGTTACCCTTATGTCTGATCCTGTGTCAGTTAGTCCTGGACCACTGCTGCTTTTTTAAAAATTGTTTTTATTGAGCTATATATTTTTCTCTGCTCCCCTCCCCTTCAGCCCTCTCCCATGGTACCCATACTCCCAATTTAATCTTTTTCTACTTCCCATGTAGATTAGATCTATGTATGTCTCTCTTAGGGTACACATTATTGTATAGGTTCTCTGGGATTGTGAATTGTAGGCTGGTTTTTCTTTGCTTTATGTCTAAAAGCTACTTATGAGTGAGTACATATGATATTTGTCTTTCTGGATCTGGGTTACCTCACTCAATATGTTGTTTTCTAGATCCATCCATTTGCCTGCAAATTTCAAGATGTTATTTCTGTGTAGTACTCCATTGTGTAAATATACTACATTTTCCCTATCCATTCTTCAGCTAAGGGGCATGTAGGTTGTTTCCAGGCTCTGGCTATGACAAACAATGCTGCTATGAACATAGTTGAGTACATGTTGGCACGGTTGAGCCTTTGGATATATACCCAAAAGTGTTATTACTAGGTATCGAGGAAGGTTGTTTCCTAATTTTCTGAAAAATCACCTTACTGATATCCAAAGGGGCTGTATCAGCTTGCAGTCGCACCAGCAACGGAGGAGTGTTCCCTTTACCCCACATCCTCTCCAGCATAACTTGTCATCAGTGTTTTTGATCTTGGCCATTCTTACAGGTATAAGATGGAATCTCAGAGTTGTTTTGATTTGTATTTCCCTGATGACTAAGGATGTTGAACATTTCCTTAAGTATCTTTCAACCATTTTAGATTCCTCTGTTGAGAGTTCTCTGTTTAGGTCTGTACCCCATTTTTTTTTTATTAGATTATTTGTTCTTTTGATGACCAATTTGAGTTCTTTGTATATTTTGGAGATCAGCCCTCTGTCTGATGTAGGGTTAGTGAAGATCTTTTCCCATTGTGTAGGCTGCTGTTTTGTCTTGTTGACTGTGTCCTTTACTTTACCGAAGCGTTTAAGTTTCAGAAGGCCATTTTTGTTTCTCTCAGTGTCTGTGCTACTGGGGTTCTATTTAGGAAATGGTCTCCTGTGCCAATGCATTCAGGCGTACTTCCCACTTTCTCTTCTATGAGATTTAGTGTGGTTGGCTTTATGTTGAGATCTTTGATCCATTTGGACTTGCGTTTTGTGCGTGGTGATAGACATAGAATACATGTTGATATCCAGTTATGCCAGCACCATTTGTTGAGTATTTCTTTTTTCCATTTTATACTTTTTGCCTCTCTGTCAAAAATAGTGTTCTTAGGTGTATGGATTGATATCTGGGTCTTTGATTTGGTTCCATTGGTCCTCCTGTCTCTTTTTATGCCAGTACCAGACTGTTTTTCATCATTGTAGCTCTTCTGTATTAGAGTCTGAAGTCAGGGATTGTGATGCCTCCAGAAGTTCCTTTATTTTACAGGATTGTTTTGGGTATCCTGGGTTTTTTGCTTTTCCATATGAAATTCAGTATTGTTCTTTTGAGGTCTGTAAAGAATTTTGCTGGGCATTGCATTGAATCTGTAGATTGCTTTTATTAAGATTGCCATTTTTACTATTTTAATTGTGCCTACCCAAGAGCATGGGAGATCTTTCCACTTCCTGGTGTCTTCTTCAATTTCATTTTTGTCATACAAGTCTTCCACTTGTCTGGTTAGAGTTACTCTGAGATATTTTATGCTGATATTAGTTCTTCTTTGAAAATCTTGTAGAATTCTGAGCTGAAATCATCTGGCCCGAGGCTTCTTCTGGTTGCGAAATTTTGATGAATGTTTCTATTTCTTTAGAAGTTATAGGTCTATTTAATTTGTTTATCTGGTCTTGATTTAATTTTGATAAGTGATATTTATCCACAAAGTTGTCTATTTTATTTTCTTTCTCTCTGCCTTATGGTTAGTTTGGGTAAAGACCTATTTTTTTTTTATTTTCTTGAGGAACCAACTCTTTGTCTCATTGATTCTTTGTATTGTTTTCTTCGTTTCTATTTGGTTGATTTCAGCTCTCAATTTGATTATTTCCTGCTGTCGTGTCCTCCTGGGTTAGTTTGCCTCTTTTTGTTCTAGAGTTATCAAATGTTCTATTAATTCACTAGTGTGGGATTTTTCCAGCTTCCTTATGTAGGCATTTAGTGCTATGAAATTTCCTCTTAACACTGCTTTCATTGTGTCCCATAAATTTGGGTATGTTGTGTGGTCATTTTCATTGAATTTTAGGAGTCTTTAATTTCTTCATTTCTCCCTTGACCTATTGATGATTCAGGTGAGCATTGTTTAATTTACATTTGTTTGTAGGCTTTCTGAAACTAGTGTTGCTGTTGAATTCTAATTTTAAGCCTTGGTGAATCAGATAAGATACATGGGGTTATTCTTTTTTTTTTTTTTTTAA